AAAATATAGAGCTATGTCATTTTATTCTTTAATTATTAAGTGCAATGTTACACACCATTTGAGAAGTGTGTAACATAGTATTTCCTTAATATGAATTTCACAAAATATTATATTTAATAGATATATTAATTGATATATCAGTTAGTTAGAGCATTCTTAATAGTCTCACCATCCTCATTTTTTCTCTACTTTAATTAGGGAAACGCAAGATAATTCCCTCCAACAGGCTCCTTACTAAACTCTCAGAGTAAACTTTTGGTTTTCTACATTTAGGGGGGGGGGTTGGGTTTAATCACTCTCTATAATTAAAAATTTACTTTTTCCCTCTCGGGAAATTATTCAATACTCCCGGAGCACCACGTGTCCATACTCCAAACCAATCACCAATCAGTTAGCCCCATGTTGTCCCCCTATCTTTAACATAAATCGTGGGCCCTTGTGTCTCTCTACCAATCAAAACATTATGGAGCACCACGTGTCCATATTCCTGGAGTACTGAATAATCACCCTTATCTCTCACCCTCATATGTTTCTCAAATGGTAGAGCAGAGAGAAGAGAATTTGTAAAAACATTTTTAATAAAAAAAAGAAAAGAAAAGATACTTTAAAAATATTTAAAATATATAGAGAAAAATATAGAGTATTGTTAGAAATGATAATTGAAAAAATGGTTCCCTGAAATGTGAAGTACACTTTTTACCTAAAATTTGAGGAAAAACTATATCTATCACCTTTCCATTTCCATAGATCCATCCTCACTAGATCTGTCTCTGGCCATTGATATTGACGTCGCCTCTCATTCTTTCTGATCTTCCAGATCTGATGTTTGGCTTGTACACAAACTTTTAAATGTTAAGATCAGGTTTCAGATTTTCTCACAATCCGAAGACCGATGCTGTTTAACAAGTTCGTTTCGCGCTAGGCGACCATCTCAACTTTAACATTCCATCTTGACCAACTGAGGTGAGGTATTCAGATTTTAAGTTGAAAGTCACAATGTAATGAAATTTTGGATGTGTTTAGCGACTTGGACCGTGATTATTTTTGATTTGCTTTTTACTTTTATTTTTTTAATGTTTGTTGTAATAATCCTCCTTATGTGGAGATTGTGTCCTTCCCTTGTGAGGGTTTTTTCCCCTCCTTTATGGAGGCCAAGATTCTTGCTCTTCTAGAAATTTATTATCTTTTTATGAGATCTTTTGCTATCGCTATACAAGATTAATCCAATTTTTTCATTGGTTTTGCAATGAGGATTTTCTTTCCGATTTTAAAAAATAATAATATTAAAAACAAAAATGATAAAAAAATTAGTGTAAATTAAAAATAAACCCTTGAGATTTGCTTAAAGTACGTAAATTTTCCTGTAGTTTTGAAAATTACAAAAAAATAAAAATAAATCATTGTTAGAATTTTTTATTCAATAAAATTACCCTTCCCAAAAAAAATGAAAATCTTAACTATTTTCTTATATATAACAATAAAATTATCTAAATTGTTAACTGAAATATATTTATAAATCATAAAAAACTGTTAATTGACTTAATAAATGAAAGAATTTATTTTTTATATGACTAGAAACTTGAATGGACAAAATATAATTTTCAAAAGAAAAATTATTTGATGTGCAATGCACACTGTATGTAACCATATACAAATTACGTAAATTTTTATGAATTTATATAAGTGATTTTACAAAAACGAGTAAATTGAATACAAATTTGCATAATCACGTAAGTTTATATGAACTTACACGAATTTGTATTTAACTTACATATTTTTATGAGATTACTTATGTAAGTCGGTAAAAATTCACGTAATTTTGTATAGGATTATATACAATGTGCATTGAACGCCAGAGTATTTCCCTTTTCAAAACTATAAGGTTGTATTTGGTTCATGAATTTTAGGAGGAATTTAGAAAAGGAAACTAAAAAGATATGTGAAATATAATTATATTTTATCTATTTTTTTCATTTTTAAATTTCTTTATAAATTTATGAACCAAACATAGGCTATGAATAGTTTTTTTTTTTTTTTTAGACGAATTACATTTATAGTCTCTGTAGTTTGGGACTTGTGTCACTTTGATCCTTAACCTTGCAATTGTGATGCATTTGACTTTAAATTTTGAATCTCGTTCCAAATAAGGACAATCGAAGACAGTGTTGCTCAATTTCAAGGGTAAAATCGTCAATTTGATAAAATATAAACTAGTTTGACAAAAATAAATATCAAAAAATTATTTTTGAATTTTTAAAAATTATTTCTACCCACTAATGATAAAATTATATAAAAATGATAAATCTTTTACATTTCTATTTTTTATTTTATTTTGTTACTGAATTAATTTTTAGTATGTGTTTGGATGATGATCATGTAATAAGTATTTGTTTTTGTCAATTTTTTTAATGATTATCTTGTAATAGATGGTTGTATTTATTATTAATAGATATTTTTAGATAATTATCATATAATGAATAGTTATTAGGCTTTCAATGTGTAATCGATATGTTTAATATATGAAATGTTTTTAGTTTTTGATTTAATAGATTGATTTAATAATGACATCAAAATTGTCGCCATGTTTGACTTTTGAAAAAATAGAAATTTATTTAACGAAAATAAATATAAAAAAATTATTTCTACCATCTCATAAGATAAAATCATATAAAAATGATGTGTTTTTAATTTTTTTCACTAATTTAATTTTTAATTTCTTAGAAATTTTTTTTGAAAATAGATTTTGAAAACCAGACCAAATAAAATTTTATAACTAAGAAAGTTACAACAGTATTTATTAAAAAAATGCCATTATATTTCAAACAACATATAAGTTAACCAATACAAAATAAATTACATGATGACTTTACCCTTGAAATTGACCATTTGCAAATAGGATTTAAAATTCATGATCAAATATATTATAATTAAAAATAAAAAACAAAAAGGGAAATTTAGTCAAAACCCCTCCATTGGATCATTATTTGGCGAAAAGAACAGCCTAATTTATTTTTCTTCATAAATTCCCTAAGGAGAAAACACATAATTGAGTAAGGACAATGTAATATATATATATATATATATTTTCTTTCTTGGACAATATTGCCAAAGTAACATGTTACTGTGAGACAAAATAACATGTTACTATCAAATAGAGTAATTATAAAACAAAGTAACATGTTACTGTGAGACAGAATAACATGTTACTGTTATTGTTTACATCAATTTGAACGGTAATAAATTTTTTTTAAAAAGAATTTCATAGTTAACATGAATCTTATTTGATAGATTTTTGATGAGAGAATTCTAAAAATATTAATTTTATTAAAAATATACATAAAAGTTATATTATTTTAAAGTTTATATTTTGATAATAGTGATATTTATTGGACTTTTCAAGATTTTTTTTTTGAGTTTGCCCTTAATGTATTAAAATTTTATTATAAGAAAGTCTTAACCAAATCTCCTAAACTAAAATGACATAAGTTTCAAATTACAAAAAAAAATAAAAAAATTAAGCCTGTGTTTTGAACGATTTCCAAATGTTGATTCTACCTACGTTCCAATATGATGTTTGGATAGAGTTTTGGAACTAATTTTCTACAACTCCGTAGAAAACTTGGTGTGTGGCGTGATTTTCAATTTTTTTTTATTTTATTTTAAATTTAGCCTAACCGGTCGTCCCACCTTACGTCCTACTGGATGTCCCACCGGTCATCTGACCGGTTGACTGAAAAAATGATTTTTTTTTTTTTTGCAATTGACATATTTTAATTTTTATATATTTGGAAAAAATATTTTCCGAATTTTTAAAAAAAATTTATGTGTTTTAAGAGAATTTTGAGTTGTATGTTTGGTTATGGGTTGTAAATTTTTGTATTAAATATCAAATGTCACATCAAAAATTTCCCACTCAATTTAAAACTCTTTCACAAAACAAAATTTTCACACTCAAATCATAATTTTTAAAACTCACGAACTAAAAATATAACTCCTATGCTCAAATCATAGTTAGAAAGTTCTACCAACTGACCGGTTGACTGAAAAAGTGACTTTTTTTTTTTTGCAATTGACATATTTTAATTTCTATATATTTGGAAAAAATATTTTCCGAATTTTTAAAAAAAATTTATGTGTTTTAAGAGAATTTTGAGTTGTATGTTTGGTTATGGGTTGTAAATTTTTGTATTAAATATCAAATGTCACATCAAAAATTTCCCACTCAATTTAAAACTCTTTCACAAAACAAATTTTTCACACTCAAATCATAATTTTTAAAACTCACGAACTAAAAATGTAACTCCTATACTCAAATCATAGCTAGAAAGTTCTACCAAACGCAACCTAAGACTCTTTTGAAAAGTGAGTTAGTAGTCACTTTTTAACTTTTAAATTATTTTAAATCATATCATCTTTTATATTTTTTATATATATTTTAAAAAAAGTTAAACAATTAAAAAATTAATTTTTAATCATCTTTTTAAAACAATCCGGGTATAATTCTAGTAAACTTCAAAATGTGTGTAATTTATCCCCAAGATACTTTGGCTCCGTTTGGCAAGGAGATCTGGAGTTATTTTAGTCACAAAAAATAAAATAAGTTATTTTAGTCATAACAAACAAAACATTACATCCAATCTATAATTATTATATTCTTCTCTTACAAAAAAAAAATCAAAAAATTTTTTTCAAACCAAATTTTTTAACCTAAATTAAAACAGTCAAAAAAAAATTAAAAATCACTTTTCAAACGGAGGCAAATAGAAATGCTAATAATGTGAGAAACGGAATGCGGCCATCACGTCGAATATAAAAAGACGTCCACTAGCGCTGTTAACGCCCCACCCTATGTATACCTCCAACTCCAAGCCAAACACGGCACGGCAGTCATTAATCCCCAAAAAACACCAAAAACAACCGGCCATTCAATTCCTGGCCTGTTACCGGAACTCCCGGTTACCCACTTCCCACAAATGTTTTAACCTTATATTCTTCTTGCTAAACGTCTCTCTCGTCCTTCTTTTTCTCTCTCCCCCCTCCTAAATCCCCCACTCTAAATTTTTTTTCTTTTCCTTTTTTTCTCCCCCCATCAAATCCCCCCCAAAAAAACTAATCTTAAATTCCAGAAAGCATCCGAAACAAAAGTGAGCACACAAATACAATTACTTCTTCCATATATATATATATATATATATATGTATCTATGATATAATACAATTTGTTGACTTTCACATGAACGTAACGTAACTGGTTTGTATATGACAATGTGATAGGCCATATCTCACAATGTAATCATCGATTTTTATGATTTGATTTGGACAGGTAGGACCCATAAAGTCCTGCTGTTTTCTATTTCCTTTGATGATGATGATGATGATGATTTTGTTTTTTTATTTTTTATTTTGATTTTGGAGCAGGAAATTTGAGTGGTTGAACAGTGGTGAGGGAGGAGGAGAGGGGTATTGGGTGTTTGTGAAAAATAGGGGTAGGAGGAGGAGTATAAAAGAGGAGAGTCGGGGGTTGGTGGAGGAGGAGGAGGAGGAGGAGAGATGGACTCACCATCGAGTGGAGGAGGAGGGGGGTTTGGTAGCTCACCAAAAGAAGCACCAAAGTCGTCTTCTTTAATGGACAGCCTATTGGGTCTCCTCCGAATTCGCGTCAAGCGCGGTGTCAACCTCGCTGTCCGCGACGTTCGTAGCAGCGATCCTTATGTCGTCATCAAGATGGCTAAACAGGTCTCTCTCTCTCTCTCTCGTTTATCAATGCTGCAAATTTGTTTTATTTATTTTTTTATTTTTTTGGGGGTTTTCTTTTCTGGGTTTGTTTTTTTGTTTCTTGATAATCCCAATTTTCAATTTTCATGATTGTTTCTGCAAGACTCGAGGCTTCGGGAAGGTCTCTTAATTTCTTATGATCACGTAATCCACTTATTGGCAAAATCACGAAAACCCAATATGCTATCCATATACTTTTATTTATTTATTTTTTCAACTGATTTATTCATACAGCTTTGTTGTGTAGAGCATCTCTGACCAATCATCCTTTATCAATTTTAATTTTATCAAATTCCAATTTGATGGAAAATGGTTAGAATTGTGCTGCAACCAATTCATCAAATTTGTGGCAAATCAATTGAGATGCAATTTTTCCATCAAATCAAGGATGAGCCAAATCCTTCACTTAATTTACGGCCGTTATATTTTTACTCATATTTGGTGAAATCTTAAAAAGAGTTAAAGGATTGAAAATTGGTATCTTTCATTGAAAACTATAAAAACACATTTTTAGGGTAGGTTTGTAATTTTTTTAAGAGGATTTCATGAAAGAAATGGAGTGTTCCACATCAAATCAAGCTCTTAGAAAACAAGAATTACTGAAAATTTACTTGAAAGTTGAATATTGTAAAGGATCTGGCTCTGGCCATGACATAAAGAGACTAGTCAGAGGCCTAGGAAAGAAAGAGGCAGAAGCCGTATAACCGAGTAAAAAGTGATGTATGTTAGGTAATTAATCCATTAATGCCTGAGTTTTTGTGGCTTCATTGGAAAAAAACATATAGACAATCTATTGTGGACATGTTGTGAATATACTCCAATTTAGAGAGGTTTCTTTAGGCAGGAATTAGAGAGGTTCAGAATGTGGAACTTGGGGGTTTATTTATGGCATTAGTCAGTGATTACAAAAGTTTTTGAAGTCAGTAAGTGGCCATATTGTTTTTGGATCTTTTCTCACTAGGGGCCTTTTGGTTGCACTACAAGATTGAGGTTGTTATTGGGTAGTAGCTCGAAAACTCATGAATTATCTATTTGTTAAGCAACTTGAACTCACGAATTATGTACTGTTGGTTTGGTGAAATAATCATGTTTAATATGACATGGGTTTGGTTAGTCAAACCCAACGGTATTGTAACTGTTTTTTATATTTATATTTATATTTTTATAGCAATAAACATATGCATTTTTCAAATTGTTTTAGGTTTTGAATAAGGAGTTCCCACCCCACTTACTATTTCTTCTCATGTACCCTATTTGGGTTTTCTAGTTATATTTTTTGAATATCAAGAGAAATATGTTATGGTTTTTAAATAATTTTATGTGGACTAACATCCCTTACTATGAAGGCAATGCCTTCCAAGTGCAAACTACCTACAAGCTCCTTAAACCCACTAAACAAAGCATCGTCCTTGCTCATCAAAACAGGCCAAACATATTCTTTGTTATCCATAATCCGTTTAAAACACCCCCAACAAGTACACAGAGTTCCCAATGCACAATTAGCAAAAACCAATTAAAATTTACAAAATAAAACCAGTCAGCTGCCTAAACCTTCAACAAAAAACTATCGTATGACATGTGCAAAATCAATTTATTTTATTTTTTCATATATACCTTTATTGGGTGACCATTGGTTCAATGGTTAAGACTTGGCTTAATAACCTTAAGGTTATGGGTTCAAGTCATGGGGCCATCACTTTGTGCATTATGCCAAAGGTTAGGTGTGCACTCAATCTTTTCCCTCCCAAACACGCATTTAATGTGTACTAATTGAGCGTTATTTTTTTATATATACCTTTATTGAACAATACCTTTTTATAGCTTGTGCCGATTCTTATGATTATCAATTCGATTCACGATATGATTATTGATTTAACATCTATGGTTGGAACCCATAACTTTTCCTTTAGTGGAGAAGCTAGCATTTACTGGTTGCCTTCTAGAGATAAGGCAGAAGGATCTCCAAAACTCACTGCTTACAAACTTGATGATAAGTGGTCGCAACACAATGGGGTTTTTGATATAACTGTTTAAATAAGTTTTTATTTCATATTTTTCCTTATAATGCTTACCTTCTACTTGGTTTTACTTGATTTTCTTATGTCATGTGAATGTTTGACATTTGATTTGTTGCAGAAACTGAAGACTCGTGTTATCAAGAAGGATGTCAATCCTCAATGGAATGAAGATTTAACTCTTTCCATTTCAGATCCTGATCTCCCAATCAAGCTGGTATGTTAATTGGTTACATCTTTCCAATTTATGACATGAAACCCTACAAGGGACTTATAAGGCTAGCTTCTTTTAGTAATTTAGTATAGAGTTTTCCCATGCTCGTCGAATGTTCCACATGTTTCCTATGCTTGTCAAATGTCTACATGCAAATAAAAGGTAAATTCAATTGGAGGACATTCAATCATAACAAGTTTTAATGATATAGTCATAATTTCCTTCTTTGGAGATCATTGGTAATTGCTAGACTTCCCGTGCCGATTCTAAATGTTGCTGGTGTTTAATTTGAGTTCTTTGGGTTGTGTTCCAACTAAATCACATGGGCCTCCCCATTAACTCCACTGTAGAGAGAGAGAGAGAGAGAGAGAGGAACAAACAAGTTTGTTTCCTAAGTGACAACAAATTATTCATAAAAGTTCGTGTTCTGGACTTCAAATGCTTTCAAGTGTTGATATATTTTTGTCTCACTTTTGCATCACCCTTACGTGTTTTCTAAATCTTGATGTAGGACAGCACTGGAAAATGTAGAGTAGAAAAAAGGGAGCTCCTGAGTTTTGTAATTGAAAAGTGCTGGAATGAATTGGTTTTGAAAATGATGGGCAGCTGGATTTTCAGTGGGTTGTGGAAAATTTTGTATATTGAAGGATATGCAAGTGTTGAGCAATACAATTAACGCGATATTAATATCTCAAAACTCAACTCTGCTGAAATAAGATTGATTCCTATAACTTAATTAATAGACATGAACAACAATATATTGACCTATAATTTGAGACTCAATTAAAGCTCAAGATTACATTAGGTCATAAATAGTATAATTTGCATTATTGGGCCAAAGTTTGTAAGATAATCAATTTGGACACTTTGAAAACTATAATTTTGTGAGTTTCTGATAAAATGTTTATGGTCATCTTCTTTGCCTGAATTTCAGACTGTCTATGACCATGACACGTTCAGCAAAGACGACAAAATGGGAGATGCAGAGTTCCATATTAAAGGGTTTGTAGAGGCCATGAGAATGGATTTGCATGGCCTTCCAGCAGGCACCGTAGTGACAAGAGAGCAACCATCGAGGCAAAACTGCCTAGCAGAAGAAAGCTGCATAACCTGGACGGATGGAAAGATTTCGCAAGACTTGTGCCTCAGATTGAGAAATGTCGAATGTGGTGAAGTGGAACTGTCGCTGCATTGGATCGACCTCCCTGGCAGCAAGGGTTTATAGATTAGTGTTCGTAAACGATGCTTTCTCTGATTTATGTCGCCCAGTGCTGCTGGTTTTTGGGTTCAACTAGTACTACTTTGCAGTATCAAGGGAATCAAATAGCGGGGTAGTGTGTGTAGTGATGACATGTATGACAGATTCACCTTGCTTTTGCATCTCTGCATATTTGTACAAGTCCTGTCTGTAGGTTAGTGTTGTATGGGCTTTAAAGATTTTTATGTTCTTTTGACAATCTATAAGTTGCAAATGCTTTTTTATTTTCTTCTAGTGCATGGCAAAATGGATGGATTTAAATGTGATTTGATCCTGAGTTAATCTGCCCTACAACACAAGTTGGGTACATTAAATATTTGTCAGAAGAGAATGTGTTTGTTTAAAGACAACTGTGCTAGAAGAAAACATGTACACTAGGCGGATGAGAAAAATCTTTTGTTTTTTTTCTCTTACCCTTTAGATATCCATAAAAAATAATTATATATATAGTTGTATTTCCAAGGACAAATTTAAAGTCCAAATAATTGTATTCATAATTGAGGTGAGATACATTTTCTGAGCCATAGGTGGGTGAATAAAATAGAATACCACGACTTGATAGAAGATAATTCTTCATAAGAAAAATAAGAATTCAATGGGATAAAACTGTACATAATTGATGTAATCCATAAACCCCAAAAGCCTAATCACTAATAACAAACAAACTCATATCATAATGTTAATCCTGTTACTAAATTATCACTCAGTACTCTCACAAACATTACCAGAGAGTAGATATATATAAATATATATATTTAAACAGAGGTCATGCAGATTGTTATTAGATAATATCAAAATAGTTAGCATTTCAATGCATTTTTTTGTTGGATAATCTTCACTGTATTTAAATTAATTAATTCTGTTTAGGTATTAAACGACAAACAGAATACAAAAGAAAAATAGGAAAGGAGAGTGAATGTTTGATTACAAAAATCAAACTAGAAATAAAATTAAATAAACAAAAACAGATTTTATTTTGTTACAAAAACAAAATTAAAATCTGATTTAAATAAATAATAATAAAACAAAAAGTAAATAAATAACTTACTCGATTAATTTCTTTTACAAATATTCTGATCAAGTCCAGTGCTTGACACTGTGTTCTTAACACAGATTCGTTCTCTCCACGGTGCTTTCAGAATATGGACGTCTATCTCCCAGGATAAAATTATCAATCAACGAAAAATAGCAGCACTACAAATTTTTCATACAACGAACACACTAAGTGTATATACTCTTTCTCACAGAAAATTAATGCAACAATATGTAGAGAATAATAGCAAAATTATTTTGGACGAAAATAATGAATGAAAACATCAAATGAGGGCTGCCAATTTATAGATGGATTGGTGGCTGTAAGTTTTGAATTAAACAGGTGCAAACCTGTTTTGAACAGGCATGAAACCTGTTTGGTTTTGAATGAACAAATTTAAATCTGTTGGGTTCAAAATTCAAACAGATAAAACTGTTTTGGATTTAAATCTGGACAGTTTCGGATCTGTTGGCCAGTGAACCTGTACAAAACAAATTCTGAAGAGGTGCAACAATTTTGAATTCAAAAAATTGAAATTTAAATTGGACAAATTTTATTTTACCAAAAAATAAAATTGAATCCAAATGTTTTTGGCCCAAAAAGATTAGTATTGGACCAAACAAGCTCAACCCACCCAATTGGACGGACGGCGGTCCGCGTGTGTGGTAATTTTTGTAGGACAATCCTCACTGTATTTGAAAAAATAAATTCTGTTGTGTACTTAACAACAAACAGAATACAGAAGAAATAAAGGAAATGAGAGAATTTGTTTGATTACAAAAATCAAACCAGTAGAATAAAATAAAATAAATAAAACAAAATTTTATTTTGTTACAAAAACAAAAACAAAATCTGATTTAAATAAATACATAAAATCAGAAAATAAATAAACAACTTACTTGATTAATTTTTTGAATAATATTCTGATCAAGTCCAGTGTTCGACACTGTGTCCTTAAGACAGATTCGTCCTCTCCACGGTGCTTTCAGAATACGGACGTCTATTTCTCAAGATAAAATGATCAATTAACGAATAAATACAGCATTACAATATATTCGAACAACGAACACACTAAGTGTTTATACTCTTTCCTAGATGGAAAATAATGCAGCAAAAATGCAGAGAAGGCAGACAATATTTAGGATGAAATTATTGAATGAAACATCAAATGAGGGCTGCCTATTTATAGATGGATTGGTGGCTACTGGTTTTGAATTAAACAGGTGCAAACCTATTTTGAACAGGTATGAAACCTGTTTGGTTTTGAATGAACATATTAAATCTGTTGGGTTCAAAATTCAAATAGATAAAATTGTTTTGCACAGATTTAAATCTGTCCGGGTTTTCTGAATTTTAAACAAATTCAATTCTGTTCGGGTGGGAGAAAAACAGACCCAATTTTGAATTCAAAAAATTGGAATTTAAATTGGACAAATTTTATTTTACCAAAAAATAAAATTGAATTCAAATATTTTTGCCCCAAAAAGATTAGTATTGGTTCTGACAAGCCCAACCCAACCTCATACCACGCACCCAAGCCCAAGCCCAGGCCCAGCCCGTCCGACCGACCGGACGGCCGGCGGCGGCGCGCGCGTATGGTTATTTTTGGGTCCAATGAGTCTTAGCCCATTTTGTCCATAACCTCCATCTCTACAAACTTAGGTACCCCTTGGGGTACACCCCAAGTTCCAATCCCATGCCTTATAAACCCATTCAAAACTTTCCACCCAATCAATGTGGGACAAGCCATTTTTCAAATCTTTAAGGATTTTCCACTAAAACTCCATTTTCATGGAGCACACTTTGGCTTCAATTTCCCATTCACTCAATAATGATTTTGAGCAACCAAATATACCACGTGAATCACAATGCGGCATAGAACGCATTACCACTTAGACTCGCCAACTTTGGCGTACGGGTCCCACCTAAATAATTGACCAAAGTTAGGGAAAAATTCTATTTTCCAGAATTTTTCCCAATCATTTCTAACAATCCCCCACATAAGTGGAATTTGATGATAACAGAAATGCAACAATATGCAGAATTTATCGAAAGAGTATAAGTCGAAAATATCTTACATCAAGATATGTAGCTTTCCCTAGTGATAACTTATCGAACTTACTAGCTAACCAATGGACGTGATGCCTTGAATTATTCAGCCGTTTGTGTAAGTTAAGACAATAGATTTCATACAAAATATCTTCTAACACATTGTGGTTCTCACTGTTGTGTTCATTTTGGCCTTGAACGCTCATGGTTTTCATGAATGTTTCTAGAGAATTTAGCCTATTTCATTCTCATAAAACCGGCCCCAGTTCGACACTCATATAGGTGATTCTTATTGTGAGTATCTCTTTATATTCGTCTTGATTTTTATGCCTAAATCAAGATATAAGTAATCATTAAAAGCAAAACTTATCCTTATATCCCTACATGCAACATATGTTGCAGATATCATTCTCACCATAGGAATGGGTAGGGAAATTTTAATCCCTTGATGATTTCTGGCGAGCCACACATAACTTAGTTGTCCCTTTGAACTTAGTTCTTGGGATCTTCAATCATGTAAGTAGGTTTACCATTATGATGACTCTTATATAATATGCTTTAATCCCATCCCCTTCGATGAATTATACACTAGCTCTTTTGTCAAATCTTTTGTTAATAGATCCGCAATATTCTCTTTAAATTTTATATAATCTATTGAGATTATTTCATTTGACAACAATTGCCTTACGGTATTATGTCGACGACGAATATGTCGTGACTTACCGTTATAATATGATTTTGTGCCTTGCCTATTGCAGATTGACTATCACAATGAATGCAAATAACTGGCACAGGTTTAGGCCACATCGGAATGTCTTCTAAGAAATGACGAAGCCATTCTGCTTTTTCTCCTGCTTTATCTAAAGCAATGAACTCGGATTCCATTGTGGATCGTGCAATGCATGTTTGTTTCGTGGATTTTCAAGAAACAGAACCACCACCCAGAGTAAAGACATATCCAGTAGTAGATTTTGAATCTTTAGTATCTGATATCCAATTGGCATCACAATAACCTTCAAGTATTGCTGGATATTGAGCAAAGTTCAAACTATGATCACAAGTAAATCTTAGATATCTACGAACCCGAATGATCGCTTTTCAATGGTCTTCTGTGGGATTACTAGTGTACCTACTCAATTTATTGACTGCATAAGATATGTCAGGATGAGTACAATTCATTAGGTATATTAGGCTTCCAATGATTTGAGAGTATTTTAACCGAGACACTGCATCACCTTTATTTTTTGATAAATAAAGACTGATGTTTACAGGTGTTCTAGCTACATTCATATCATCATTGATAAATTTATCAAGAATTTTCTCAACATAATGTGATTGAGATAATGAATATTCGTTAGATGTTTTAGTAATTTTCATTCCTAATATAACATCTGCGACCCCCATACTTTCATAACAAAAATCTTTTGTTAAGCATTTGCTTAGTTGATTTGATTATATTTTGACTGCTTCCAATGATAAGCATGTCATCCACATAAAGACAAACTATGACATATCCTTGGTCAGTATTTTTAACATAGACGCACCTGTCACATTCGTTTATCTTAAACCCATTAGTAAGCATAGCATGATCAAATTTTTCATGCCATCGCTTAGGTGCTTGTTTTAATCCATAAAGTGATTTTACAAGCCGACAAACTTTATTTTCTTGCCCTGGTACTACAAACCCTTCGGGTTCCTCCATATAAATCTCTTCATTTAAATCACCATTTAAGAAAGCTGTCTTAACATCCATTTGATGTATTTTTAAATTAAACAACGCTGCTATAGTAATAAGCATGCAAATGGATGTTATTCTTGTCACAGGGGAATATGTGTCAAAATAGTCTATACCTTCATTTTGTTTGTAACCTTTTACTACAAGTCTTGCTTTATATTTGTCTATTGAACCATATGCTTTCATTTTTCTCTTGAATATCCACTTATATCTAAGAGGTTTAGAACCAGGTGGAAGATCCACCAATTCCCAAGTATGATTTTGCATAATGGATTCAATTTCATTATTAACAGCCTCTTTCCACAAAAGTGCTTCAGGACCTGTCATTGCTTCCCTAACGCTTTGAGGTTCATTTTCTAACAGGTATGTCAGAAAATCTGGATCAAAGGATTTTGATGTTCTCGCTCTCTTACTTCG